CATACATGGTGAAACTTCAGGGCCGCAAGCCGCTGAAACGCCTCTTCACCCAAAGTAATGTTATCGTGAACTCTACAAGAGTGCGGCAACAAGATTTTCCAAACAATGTCATCAGGGCTCTACCGGCATGACAAATACCTGGAGCAGTGTTCGACCAACCCAACATGGCTACAAGTTCGTAGAACCTCTAAAACTGTGACCGTATCAGCCTTGAATCCTTTTCTCTGAATTAATCCCTCTCTCTGTTTCATCAAATGGTGATAGTGCCTCCTGCCATGCCCATACATAGCTAGACCTACTAAGAAAGTTTGTCTCATTCATTCTATCAAACAGACGATACGAACACACGATAAAGCCACATATCTATCAATTCATTTCAAATTGGAGCAAATCGATGGAAACCCAAATTAAAAACAATACTATGACCCTGTTTCCCTCAGTGGAGTGCCCCGAATTGAGCGCAAGAAGAGAGAACAAAAACCAATGTCGCATTGTATGGTTCCATATCTCTCAATCTCATCTCATTGAACAAGGGCAAGGACACATTAGGCCAGTCCCTTTATAAAGCCTAGCTATGAAACATTTCGCATGATGGTTTTGGAGTTTGGACACCTTTGCAGACATGTGCAAGAGGATGTTTTGCACAAATAAATGGGATTGAAACTCAGTTATTTTTGCCTGAGAATGGAGTTGTTTTCCAATTTGGAGGCCTAATGAGGGCAAGCTTTGAGTACAAATGTGTAGTTAGAGGCATCAGCGGTGGCACCCAAAAGCTGGATTTCCCTACACAGTTGAGTGCTCTTGAGAAGTGCATTGCTAGTGCCTGGTGGTGATTGGCCTTGTACTAGTGTTGAATTCAAAAAAGTTGGGTTTGAGAATTTGATGTGAAGTGAAGTTGGGTTTGAGAATTTGATGTGAAGTGAAGTTGGGTTTGATAATTTGATATGAAGGGAGATTTTCATAGGAGTTCATTAGCTTGGAAACAATAGGCTAGGCTCATATTTGATTTGATTTGGGATGTTTTGAGTTTTGGAGGTTGGAGTTGAATTTTGAGATCAGAGAGAGAGAGAGGAGGTAGATTGAAAAAGGAAGGTGTACCCATGTTTAGAGTGGCATTTTAGGAAATAGGATAAGTGTGATTGGTATTAGAGGTTGGAATTGAAACGGGGGTGAAAGAGGGTGTGCAGAGTGAATAGAGAAGGTGGAAGACTCTGCATAGCTAAGAGAGAAGAAGTATATGTGTAGACACTAGAATAGTTAGAGAGAAGCTGTAACAATCTTAAACTTACAAAAAAAAAAAAAAATATAATAATAATATTAATAGTGTTAACAGAAATAAATATAAAAAATAAATAAATAAAATAATAAGTATATATTAGTAATGATAATAATAATAATAATACTAATATACCGTTAAGATATTGTTGCTTTTATATTAACAATAAATAAACGATATTATTGTTAGTGTACTTGAGGGTTCAATTCTACTTGGGTGGACCTTACGGCCACGACTTAAAGTTTTATAAGAACACCTCTTTAAGCAACACCTTGCATATGAGGTGTATCGTTTTTATTAGCCTGTCTCTCTCTTTCTCTCTCTCACCTTTTTTGGGTCAAGGGGCTTCTCTTTTTCTCTCATTAAGAGCTCATCAACCCTCCCTTAAGAAGCATCCTCTGCTTCAACAACAAAGGAGATTCTTTCGCTTATCTCCTCTACCCAACCACAACTCTCTGTACTAGACCTTCTCCATTTATAACCTCTCTCTCTAACCATGGTCTATGAACCATACACACGAGACTACGATAACACATATGATAAGCCCACATCCAAAACGGATGCTCCCTCAATTTCGGAATTAAGGTAAGTGACATCATCTTTCTTAAATATAGTCTGTTTTTAATAAATAGTGATATTTTCGTCCAGGATCTTTATTTTGAAAATTTTGTATGTAAGTAACTTCATTATCTTGAAAAATAATTCGTTCTTTTTTAAAATAAAATGAAATAATTATTTTTGCTTATTATCATGAATTTTAGGTGCTATAAATTTTATGCGCAAGCGACCTCATTATTTTGAAAAATAATCTTGTGAATAAAATTGTGATATTTTATGTATGTTAAAAATTTTAAATGTTGTAAATTCTTAGAAATAAATTTATTTATTTTTCTTGTCTATTGTTAGAAAATTTTAGATACTGTAAAATTGTTAGAAATAAATGTGATATTTCTGCTATTAGTAAAATTGTGAGATTTCTTTCTACTGTTTTTTAATATTTAGACATTGTAAATTTCATGTGCAAATAACTGCCTTATTATTTAAAAATTGATATTTTTGCAATTGATTACAGCATTGTTGTGAAATGTTTATTTGTGAATTGATATCCCATAAATTGTGATGATTACGTATTCTTGAATAACTGCGGTTTCATTTTGAGGATAACTGCGGTTTCATTTTGAGTGCTCGTCAGGATCAACTTTGAAAGATATTGTAGTTGTGCTTAAGCTTGCTTTTGTTACTTTGTAAGAATTCGCCACTGTAAATTTGTCCTATCAAGAGATGTATATATGTTTTGACTGTCACATCTCAAGAATATATGTATTGTAAATTCTTGAGGTGTGACAGAAGTACATATCATTGAGTTTTAATTTATAGAGCAAGTAAGTTGGGGTTCAGGTATTGGCACATGGGCTTGGGAGTTCAAAGGAGACAGACATTCAAAGATCAATTTTCTGTTTTCAAGTGCATAACATGCTGCCTTTTTCTTATTTCAAAAGATTTTATGATCTCAATTGAGCATGGTATTCATTTAATTCCTAGGGAAAAACCCTAGCAAAGAGCAAATTTAGGGCCTCAAATTTTGAGATATAACCCACTCAACCTGGCCACCAACTTAAAAAAAATGTAAAAGTTAAATACTTCATATCTGCTTGAAAAAGTCACTCTGTAACATTCAGTACTTATGTTTAGGAAGTCAAAAAAAAAATTTTCCTTTTTTTTTTTCCAAATATATTCTATTCTAAAGAATCCCAAAAATTTTATGTCACCTTTTCCCTAATCGAATGTTTGTACCCAAAGAAGCAAGTGTACTTTTTGCTTCCACTAGGGCATAGTTTATGTTCCCCTTTTCATTTTCAAGCAAAAGCCAAAAGAGAGCAGCTAGCATCTGTGTTCAATACTGCAATGAGCTTATGTCCATCTGATTACAACTAACAAGAGATGAATGTTAGGATTTAAGAACCATCTTAGATGTTGAAACAAGAGCACCAAAAGTGCGATTTCACTATGATCGTATACTTAGCTAGCTATAAACAAATTTAGCGAGAGTATGAACCATAAAGTGAAAAATAAGCATCAAACATACATTTATAAAAGCACAAAGATTTACATGGCTCACCCTAAAGGGCTACACCCACAAGCATAATCACTTCTCTACAAGAAATGACATCTCACTTCGTAGGAAGCAACATTACAACATTTCTATCTACATTTCTCTCTATGTAGAGGCCTTGCCTCTTGTGCACAAGTAGCCATTGCCTCTCTATCCGTAAACCACAATTCCCATATGGTAAACCCAAATAGGGCACACAAGTTCTTTCATCTCTCATTCCATACATATAGGATTATGACTTTCATATTAGATAGGAATCTCATAGATGTCACATATATCTCAAACTTAATTTATAACAAGGAATCCTAATCTAAAATAGGCATCGTACTTAATTTAATAAAAGTATTAGATCAATATCAATCCTATATAATATAGGATTTTGTTATGGAGGTGATTTTAGATATCACCATATTCAACAATGGAGAGGGTATATCTCTCTTCTTCCTAAACCACTTTTTAATTTATGGGGTTTGAGGACAGTGGATTGCTACTAAATTCCCTAACTATCTTGATTGAGGGTAATCTTTAGGTCTTTAGTTTAAAATCGAACTTTGGAGATTGTTTTCAAATCTAACCTATTGTACGTCTCTTCTTTTGAAAGACTAATTTACCACAATTCAACGGGATCGGAAGCCAACCTGTGATCAAGGCACTAGTATCATAATTGGACTGACCACCAAATAAGTGAAGGGTTTGCATTTAGTCAAAATAGGTCCAACTGCCTGTCGAACTGGTTGAAAGAGATTTCAAATTAGATAGAAAAAATAAGAATGATAATTTAAAAATATAAGATATATTATACAAAAAGTGACTAACTTTGTTTTAGCCATTTGAATAGATAAAAATCGACCAATCAAACCAACTAAACTAGTAAAATATTGGTTTTGACCCATTTTAAAGCATTTGTAGTTTTTATTTTGGACAACACACGCCGGAGCATTGACTTTTGCTTTTAACCAAACTAATTATCAATTCAGCTCCCCATTCCAGTCCTCGAGAACCTTCCAATGAAAAAAGAAAAAAAAAATTTCATAAAAAAGGATCAAAATCACTTTAAGACTAAGTAATTATCAATTCACCCTAGTCTTGACTCCGAATGATGAACCGAGTAGTGAACCACTTGATTCTCGACAACCCGAGGCAATTTCTCAACTTGAACCATCTAAAATCGGGAACCCTGCCCAAATTCCAAGCTGACTTGAACAATTGCTAATTTTGAAGGCATAGTTTTCAACTCCTGTACTTATTCGAGGACACTGCCAATTTTTAAAAGATGAATAGAGCTTTTTTATGATCAATTTAGTTTACCATCATACTTACGATATCATATTTTAGCAATGGAGCTTGGGATTGGGTTGGGCTTGAGTGGTTAGAAGTTGACGTCAACTCCTATCATATTTACCTAATAAGAAGGGATTGCTAATAAAAAAACTATTTATATTTTATACAAATAGGTCCCAATTATTCTTATCTTTTAAATTTTTAAATGGTTACAGAGTTCAAAAAAATAATAATTCTCCGACTTGATGACTGAGAAATAAATGGTCAAACTCGTGGTAAAATGATCGGTTGGAATGGCATGAAACAAAAGCGCAAATTTGTAATATCCTTAAGTCTTTAAGGCTTATTTCCTAATTTTCACGTGGTATACATATATTTCACCCACTTCAAACCAAAGAAGAAAGAACATTTGCGAATCTAGAGATTTCTGTGTGTTTCTCTCTTCGATATCACTCCCTCGTCGTTCCTGCAAAACTACAAGAAAGCTTATTCAAAAACCCTAAAATGGCCACGGTAATGCAGAAGATTAAAGACATTGAAGATGAGGTACTTACCTTTACCCGTTCCTCTGTTCCTTGGGAAGTTTGCCGATTTTTCTTCTTTTTTCTGTCCCTTTTTCGATAGCTTATTCATTGGTTTTCGCTTGGATTAATGGAATTCCATAGCTTAAAACTGTTCATTCAACAATGCAAAATTTCTAGGGTTTATATGCCCAACCTTAGAAATGGACCTTTCTCTGCAAAATCTAGCTCCTTTTCTTCTTTAACTGTGCGAGAAAAGCCATTATTTTCTGATGAGTTATTGCGAGTTAAAAAAATTCAGGAATTCGCATGTATTTTACAGTCGTTGATCTCGCTAAAATCTCCATCTCGAGCTAAACTAATCCACTCTCAGATCATAGTCTCGGGTCTTCAATTGGACCCATTTCTGACCAATAATTTACTGAACTTCTATTCAAAATCAGGCTGTTTTTACCTTGCCCAAAGTGTATTTGATAACATGCCTCAAAGAAATATCATCACGTGGTCAGCTTTAATTTCTGGTTACAGTCAGCATGGCCATGGGCATCGAGCCCTGCTGCTCTTCTCCCAGTTTCACAGGTTCTCTGAAACGCCACCAAATCAGTACATAATAGCCAGTGTTTTGAGGGCTTGTGCTAATCTGAGAGCTCTAAATCAGGCATCTCAGGTCCACAATCTTGTTGTTAAATTGGGTTTAGGGAACGATGTCTTTGTGGGTACGTCACTCATTGATTCTTATTCAAAAAGTGGGTATTTAGAATTTGCAAATTTGGTTTTCAATGAATTACCGGTTAGAAATGAAGTTACATGGACTACGATAATCACTGCATATTCCCAGTCAGGAAAAAGTGAGATTTCTTTGGAACTTTTCCATGAGATGAGGCAAACCAATGTCCGGGCTGATCGATATGTGATTTCTAGTGTGCTAAGTGCCTGTTCAGCAATGGAATATATTGAAGGTGGTAAGCAAATCCATTCTTACATAGTTCGCAACGAACCCCAAGTCGATGTTTCAGTTAATAATGTGTTAATGGACATGTACTCAAAGTGTGGAGAGTTGGGTTATGCGCGGCGTGTTTTTTATCTGATGAGTGTTAGGAATGTTGTTTCATGGACCACCATGATTGCCGGGTTAATGCAAAATTTTTGCAATAGTGAGGCTCTGCATATGTTCATGGAGATGCATGCGCAAGGGTGGGAACCTGATGGGTATACCTGCACGAGTGCGCTAAGCTCTTGTGGTGCTCTAATGGGTTTGGAACAAGGAAAACAAGTGCATTCTTATGCTGTAAAAACCAATCTTGAAAGTGATGAGTTTGTTAAGAATGGTCTGGTAGATATGTACTGTAAATGTGATTCTTTACTTGATGCAAGGCGTGTTTTTGATGTTATGGTTATGCGTAATGTTGTTTCATATAATGCTATGATTGAAGGTTACGCGGCGCATGGTGATCTTTGGGGGGCAGTTATTTTATTTGAACAGATGAGGTCTCACTATGTGTCACCAAGCTTATTGACATTTGTGAGCCTCCTTGGGGTATCAGCAACCTTTTCAGCCGAGCACTTGAGCAAACAGATTCATGCCCATATGATAAAACTGGGTATTTCATTGGATCTTTATGCAGGTAGTGCTCTGGTTGATGTTTACTCAAAATGTTTTGGTGTAGATGATGCTAGGCTTGTGTTTGAGGAGATGGAGGAAAGAGATATTGTCGTGTGGAATGCTATGGTTTCAGGGTATGCACAAAATGGGCAAGGGGAGGACGCCTTCAAGCTTTATCAAAAAATGCAGCTAAAGGAAATGAAACCCAATGATTTCACTTTTGTTGGATTGATCACATCAGCCAGTAACCTTGCTGCCCTGTTCCATGGCCAACAGCTGCATAACCAGACCATAAAAATGGGTATCGAGTCTGATCCATTTGTTGGAAATGCACTCGTGGACATGTATGCAAAGTGCGGGAATATTGGAGAAGCTTGGAGGCTTTTTGAGAGTATGCCAACTAGAGATATCGTGTGTTGGAACTCTATGATCTCAAGATATGCACAGCATGGCCACGCCAAAGAGGCTGTTAATCTTTTTGAGCAATTAATCAAAGTAGAAGTAGAACCCAACTCCTTTATTGCACAAGAGAAAGAAATAAAGCCCAATTATGTCACATTTGTTGGGGTTCTATCGGCTTGCAGCCACGTGGGGCTGGTTGATAAAGGGTTCCAGTACTTTAATTTAATGAAAACAGTTTTTAACATTAAAGCAGGGGTTGAACATTATGCTTGTATGATTGACCTTCTTGGCCGGGCAGGAAAACTAAGTGAGGCTAAAGAGTTTATAGAAACGATGCCTATTGAACCAACATCAATGGTGTGGAGAAGTCTGCTCAGTGCATGTAGAACCTTTGGGGATATCAATATAGGAAAGTATGCAGCCGATAGGGCCATCTCAATCGATCCAAAGGATAGTGGGTCATACGTGTTATTGTCCAACATTTATGCTTCAAAGGGAATGTGGGTTGATGTGGCAAATGTGAGGAAGGGAATGAGTTGCAATGGCGTTGTGAAGGAGCCTGGACACAGTTGGATTGAAGTAAAAAAGAAGGTCCATGTGTTTGTTGTGCGAGATAGATCACGCAGTGAGAGTGATGAGATCGATTCCATGTTATTGAGATTGACCCAACAAATGAAAGGACTGGGATATGTTCCTGATACTACATTTGTGCTTCATGATTAACAGATTATACCATGAATATGTGCTCCATAGTATTATAAACAAGAGAAAGCAAAGCAAAAAAAAGAAGAAGCAATTGGGATGCTTAAAATGAAATTCAGTGAAAGGACCATGTGGGTGCTGCATGAGTTGCACACAATTATATGATGATCAATTTCATCTTTTAACATATGAGAGGAGTGTGGGATATTCCTGATATTACAGTGAATATCAAATGAGTAAGAGATGGTGACACTGTTATGGGTGTTTTGATGTAGTGAATCTTCCTAAAGCTATTGAAGATTGAAAAAATGCAGCTCCAAACAAAAAAAAAAGATTGAAAAGACGGCATATGCTTTGTGAACAAATCCCCTTTTGGACCATCTTTGTGCCAAAACAACTGTGGCATTCCTTTCTTTCTTGAAATGAACAAAACCGGGAGATGAACCATCAATTTCGCCTTTTTAAGTACTGGTTATCAATGAGATTATCTTGAACCAAAAATGATGATTTCGGACATATAGGGTATTTGCAAATTCTCATGCTGCCTCACCAACCCTGAGGCTCTCAGCTTCCTTGGAAGACTCGGGAAAATGACCCGCATGGCAAGCCCTGTTATCTTTTCCTTTATGAATTTGCACATACCCTTTTTTTTTTTTATGCATGCCAAAATCTTGAAGGGATTCTTGACAATTCAGTATATTGTATTCGTAATTTATTTTAGAAGCCTTTATATATTATTATCTTATATTTGTACTTCTAAGAACACTTAAATTCATTTCTTCTCTATAAATATGTTTGCTTATTGGCTGCAAATGTTTTATGCCACAACAGTTCAAGAAATGATGATTTTCTCTCTTGGTTTGTTTGTATAATTATAGTTGGGAAGTGCCATGCTTCACTCAAATTTAAAGTTTTCTATTATCATTATTTGGCATAAATTTTGAAATGAAGATTTTTTTTTCAATAGATAATCGACATGAATGATGCTTGGAAATATTTACTACTATGATTTTGTTAATGCAGATGGCAAGGACGCAGAAAAATAAAGCTACAGCTCATCACCTTGGGTTGCTTAAGGTATACTAGTGCCCTGTCCGTATCCTCTCTAGGAATAGTTGCAATTGACAGAATGTGGTATTTTCATTTCATACATTTTTTTATTGCGGATTCCTTTGCCACATTGTCTCCTCCAAGAAACACCCAAAGAAATTGGTGGATAAGTATATGGGAAATAAACTTATGGTTGACTAATGAATGGGTCATATGAAAAAGGGCATAATTGAATAAACTAGGTTGCCATTTGAGAACATGCATGCTAAAAAAACCTGGCAAACAGATTCAACTGTTGAGAAATTGTGAAAGTAACAGTCATGATGTGTGCTTTCCTAAAAACATAGGTTGAAGACTGGAATGGGCATATGATTGTGTTAAAAAAACATATCCATGATAAATTTTTACTGAATAGTTTTGTGAAATAACTCCGATTACTTGTTTTATATTTAGTTATTGCTTGCTATAAGTTCTAATTTTAAATCCTAAGTTGCCATTTGATCATGAATAAAATGATAGTTAATATGTGGTGAACAAGGATGCAGATGTTTCAAAGGGCGGGTTATTTATCAAATACACAAAAATTCACATCTGGTCTGAAATCTTAGTTGATGTTGCACATAAGTCTTGTATGAGTGATGGAGCTTGTAGAATTATGCTGATGATACGGAGCCTATTATCCAACTTCTGATTTTGCGACACCTTCCCTTGAAAATGATATGAAAACAAATTGTCTTATTTTACTTATGGAATCTATAAACCAAGGACATCTATGGTGGCAACTTTTTCTCTCTTTTTATTCTTCTGTCTTATAATGAATTATATGCAGTTTCTTTTTCTACACCCTTTTAAGCTTGGAGCTATCAAAAGAAAGAGGGAATTTTTTAAGCTTCCAATTGATTTATCCTAGATGTTTGCCTGCCATGTTACTAGGCGAAACTGGCAAAATTACGACGAGAACTTCTGGAACCTTCATCAAAAGGGGGAGGGGGTGGTGCTGGGGAAGGGTTTGATGTTACAAAAAGTGGTGACTCTCGAGTTGGTTTAGTGGGGTTTCCTTCAGTTGGGAAGTCAACGCTGCTTAATAAGTTAACTGGTACCTTCTCAGAGGTATGTGGCTTTGTTCTTAAGGGTGGGTTGAACAATATTTCATGTGTATGATGGAAAAGTTGCATGTGATATTGTTTCTATTTGTTTTTGTGTGTGTGTGTGGGGTTTATCTAGAGTTAACAACCACTCAAAACACAAAGGTTAATGTTAAAAGGGGTGCTGATGGGTGTGTTTATCAAAAAGGTCATTACATTTTTTTAAAACAAATTATTTTAATAAGTAACATAACCATTAAGCAAGGGCAAATTTGAAATTTTTATAAAAGTACAATGACATTTTGGAAGTTGGTGTCCTAAAACTTTATTTGTAAGGTGCTCTTATCTTCTAGTAAAAATTTCAACTTTACCCCATATGGAGATGACAAAGTGCCTCTGTCTTGTAATGATATTTACAAAAATACCCTTACTTAATAAGTAAGATATCATAAAAAATAACTTTTTTAAAAAAAATAAACTACAAAGTTAGTAAATCCACCATTCACAACTCATTCTATCATTAACATTTGTATAGTAGTACAATGCAACCACACGTCTAGAAAACCAAGCTTTTGGCATTTGTATGACCCCAAATTTTGCACACACATTCTCTTCATCCTTATTATCAATCCTACAAAAAAAAAAAAAAAAATTTCAATTTGCACCCTAGATATGGTCAAAATTAGTACACTCCAACAATGAATCTCGACCGTTCATTTGGTAAATTTCAAGATCTAGTCCTTAACATATTCAAAATCACTTTTTTCTTTTTCAGCATTGTTAATCTAATGATGATAACACTATATAAAAATTTTGGGAATAAAAAAAATCCTTCTGAGTGCTATATCTAACCATCTCACTAAAATGGATGGCTTATATTAATTGAGCTAGAAAAACACTTTCTATGGTGTTTTTTCAAAATATTTTTTTGTGATTGTTCTTTAGAATAAAAAGAGTGCACATTTAAGAATTTGTGTCAAACAAATGTCTTTAAGATGGTTTTTGAAGATGGTTGCATTATACTATCATACAATCGTTGCATGAAATCATTCCCCATATATATATATATATTAGATATATATATAATTACTATGTGTAATTTACTCTTATGAAGAATTTGATCTATTCAACATGATTCAAGGAATTTACTCTCTTTGCCTGTAACATGAGAAGTGTGCCAATCGCTAGTGTTGTTCATGGATGTTTCTTTGGCTAATTTGTAACAAGTTAAGGGTATACCATTCATTAGGTATGGTTTAGCATTACTCCAATTCTCCACAACCATGCTATCTGTAACAAAAGTCATAATGTTTGGTGTTATTCTTCCTCCGTTTTATAATTAACCTTCACTAATTAATCTATGGGATATTTACATCTTGTGTGACACAATAATGACAAGTAAAACATTACAGACATTAGGAGCGGGAATGTGTGGTAGAACACCATCTGAGAAAGTGCTCCTTGTCATACTTCCCAATATGCTCTATTCAGCTTGTTCTTTTTACTGTAAAAAATTTCCAATTGAAAATTTTCTTTCAGAAGTAGACCTTCGTAGTATTAAAGAGAGATCATCAAAGCATTTGATCTTCACTTTCTTTTCACATCCTATTAATTGATTCTTTCATATTCAACCATTGCCAGCTTTAAAAATTCCAGAAAAGATATGCTATCAACAACATCCAGAAAATATATGCTATCAGCATTTATTATATGGTATACCATCTGAGCTATTTAAGAGATTAGTATACACCTGTTGGTCACTTTTCACAGGAATAAACTAACGTATTTTATTTGTTTGTTTCACTTTACGGAATGGCAATCTTTTTGACTAACAGGGCTTGTGATTTTTTCTATATTAGGTTTTTGGCTTATTTAATGTTCCATTGTCATGATAATTTTCCTTTGTCATTGCATATTTCTTCTTACAGGTTGCTTCATATGAATTCACTACATTGACTTGCATTCCTGGCGTAATTGGATACAGGGGGGCTAAAATTCAGGTATAGTTTGGCCCTTCTAGGGATTCGATTTATTGGTGTGGTCTTCATCAAATGAATTTGTATTTTACAATATTCTCTGATGTTTGATTAGCAAAATCGAAACTGATTTATCTTAATTTTTTTGCTATCACTATCAGTTACTGGATCTTCCAGGAATTATTGAGGGTGCAAAGGATGGTAAAGGCAGAGGGCGACAGGTGAGTGGAACTAATGGTAATGCTCTTAAGATTTTATACACGCTCAGAGGAGAGTAAAATGTACACATCCTGTGCATGGCATACCATACAAACTAAAGAGGCCGGGCATCCATCCTTCACAAGACCGGCAGTTGAGATGAACCCTAGTTCTGATTCCAATATCCATCCATCTTCAGAGCTACATTTTATATCCACCATCTGCTGTGAACAACAGATGCTTGATTCTGTGCCGGTATCTAGTATACCGTATACTACACACAGGATGTGTATGGTATACTTTTCCTATTTAAATTGTAGTGGGTGTCTGAAAACAATTTGCCGATATGCAACAACTTAAATTGTAGAAGTACAAGAACAACAGATTTGGCTCATTCTGGAATTAAAAGTATTCATCAGACGAATTGAAGTGCTCCAATTTTCTTTTCCTTTTGGGATGTTAACGGTTGATTGGGCTTTGAACTTGATAGGATCCCACTAGGCAGGGCTGTACTCAACAACCCAAAGAACACAAAAGTGCCAAATTTTGATCCTCTTCGAAGGGAATCTTCCTCCTTGTGCAACACATACAGAATTAAAGGAAAATGGTTATCTATCCTTTCACTAGTCAACCTCCTATTTATAGGTTGAGCATTTTCCCGATACCCATTCGCCAAACCCCGTACCAACAACTTATTCAAATTCAAATTAATAAAAAAACTATTCAAATTAAGAAACTCACCCAAATGAGTAACTCCAAAATCTTATTTGAAATATTCAAATTTGTTCAAATTGATAACTGACGTGCGAAGCCTCCAATTGTAGCTATGGCTTTCCTAAGTTCTAACATTCGACCCTCCTTCAAATCAACCTTGTCCTCAAGGTTGCAAATCTAGGAAGTGCTCCCTCCTTAGCCCGTCTAATCATCCGTCTCCAGTCGGCATCCCCATCTAGCATAAAACAGCTCATGGGACTTACATCTTTGGTCCGGCATGAACTTTTCGTCACAATTATGACAGAGGCCCCTGTCTCTACCTCCATCTCGGCTCAAGTTAGCTTCTTAATAGCAGGGATTTTCATCTTAGAGGCCATACCCAGGGTACGGTAGCCTCTTGCCAATTGAATTGGTTTTTCCCTTTGAGGCTAAGGCGTTTGTAGTTTTTTTTCTTGCATACAGATGAGGTGATCATAGCCATCAAGGTTGTCGGCTGGAACATTTGTACCTTAATCCCACTTTGTTCCTTTAGGCCCGTGATAAAGCAGCCGATCAAAGCCTTTTCAGTCCACCCACCCAACCTGATTCGCTATCCGCTAAAAATGGCTTTGATATTCCCGAATTGTTCCCATTTGTCTTAATTTAGAGAGGAGTGCATCGAAATCTTCGTATTCTATGGGACTGAAATGGACAAAGAGAGTAGCTTTAACTAGTTTTGTTTATGTCGGAGTTGTTTGTGCCTTTTCATACCATTGGTACTATTGAGCTGTGTCTCCTTCCATGAGGAAGGATGTCAAGAGAACCTTTCGTTCCTCTTGCGTGTCCAAGAATCTGAAGACCTTCTCCGCAAAATAGATTTACCCTGTTGGATCATCACCATAAAACTTTGGAAAATCTACACGCTTGTAACGGGTTTCCACCAACCGGGGTGCGAAAAGTCCCTCCATTTCACACATCTGTCTCAGTCTTCCTGCTCCGATTGACAACCGATCTGCAACATCTTTGGCATTAAGATGCTAGCCGCTTGCATTGGAGGCACATAGCAGTGAGGGTCTCACGTATCTCGCGCAGCAGCCCCGAGTGTTGCTACATTTGTCCTTCAAGCTCATTCTTTTTTTCTTCCGTCCTGCACGTTCTGAGTCTTCTGAGCCTTATGGCCTACTTTGGGCACACCCAGGCTCGATGCTCTAATACCAAATGATAGGATCCGGCAAGGTGAGACCGTACTTAGCAACACAAAAGTGCCAAAGTTTGGTCCTCTTAGAGGTGGATCTTCCTCTATGTGCAAACGCACACAAAATGAAAAGAAAATGGTTCTCTATCCTTTCATTATTCAAACTCTCTTTTATACATTGAGCACTTTCCTAAAACCCATTCCCCAAATCCCCTACCAAAAACTTATTCAAGTTCCAATTAATTAGAAATCTATTCAAATTAAGAAACTAACCCAAATTGAATAACTCCTAAATCTTATTTGAATTATTCAATTTTATTCAAATTGGTAACTCTCTAACTACCCATGCTAATTCCCCCAATTATGGCTACGGGTTTCCTAACAGACCTAAGAAAGACAAAGGTGTCACCCTCGAAATTTTTCTTTCTTACAAGGTTTCCTAATATATTCTTGGTTTGACTTGGTTGCCATATATCATTTCAAGCTTGATACTCGACTGAGCAAAAACAAGCTGTCTCCTAGCTTGGTGAAGTTTTCAAGATCTTTTTTTTTTTATTATTTTGAAAACAAAGTATGAAAGCGTTACAAAAAATTTCAGAAGTAAGAATCTTATACAAAATATATAATAGATATGTATCTTCTATTAGTATGTCATAAGCCCGCATACATAAATATGCATGAATATACATTAGTATATAAAGTAAATGTATATGCATATGCATATGCACATGCACATGCAGGTATGTAGAAATATATTTGCTATATATGACATAGTTTGCTAGGATCTTCCAACCTCGGTGGTGATCCTTCTCTGGGATCTCACTTTGGAGGTCCAGCAAAGGGATCTCGATTTTTAAATTATGGGATCTCGATCCCCACTGTTTGGGACGTCGGTCCCCAAATTAATGACCAAGGCAACAGCCAACGTGATGGGTTTTCTTTATTTATAACCAGCTCGCAATGGAATGTTTTTATTTTAGTGGCATTGCTTCCTAATGAAGAGATCGCTTCTTTAAAAAGTGTCTGTAGTCCTACATTATATACACTCTTTAACGTTGGGAGTAAGACCCCTACAAGGTTGGGATTGAGATTCCAAAATGTCGGGATCCAGATTTCTAACATTTGGGGATCCCGATCCCTAACATATATATTATATGGTCGGCGGTCCCAACCATAGGGATCTTCTAGCTTTTCACAGTCCCCTGCTCCTAATCCTATTCCCACTTTTGATGTCGTTAATTATGATATGACATCATTTGACCCTTGTTATGTCTGAAAATTTATTTAATTCCTGTATGATGTATTTGTGAGGGAGCATCTTGCAAATGTTTGTTCCAGGTTATCAGCACTGCTAGGACCTGCAATTGTATTTTAATTGTTCTTGATGCCATAAAACCGATAACTCACAAACGTCTGATTGAGAAAGAGCTTGAGGGATTTGGTATAAGGTAATCTTGTTTTAATCACTTCACATTTTGCTTTGTTTCATTGGGAACGGTCAGAGGGTACCCCTGTGTTGCATTGAATGTGATACACCACTGGTGTTTTCTACCTTCTTTGATTTTCTTTTCTTTTTAGGAGTCTAATTACTGACTTTTGCATATCTCCAGGTTAAACAAGGAACCACCTAATTTAACTTTCAGGAAGAAAGACAAGGGTGGGATCAATTTCACTTCCACTGTTGCAAACACACATCTGGACCTTGAAACCATTAAGGCAATATGTAGTGAATATCGGATTCATAATGCTGATATCTCACTTCGATATGATGCAACTGCTGATGACCTCATAGACGTTATCGAGGGAAGTAGAAAATATATCCCCTGCATCTATGTTGTCAACAAGATCGACCAAATAACAATTGAGGAGCTGGAGATCCTGGACAAACTTCCTCACTATTGCCCAATAAGGTATGTTGATATTCTGGCCCAACGCATGGCTCAAAGTCAATCACTATTTCCCCATCTGTGTGTGTGTGAGAGCGTGCACGCGTGTGCGTGTGAGAGAGAGACAGCTTACAAATATGCCTGACTTTATTAGAGAGAGAGAGAGAGAGAGAGAGAGAGAAAGAAAGAGAGAGGGAGAGATTACTGTATGCTTGTGACTTTATTCTCAGATTTCTGTATAATTCTTGCACATAAGTTTATTATCTGTGTTCCTATATCATTCTTGTACATAAGTTACATGGATGCTGTCCTCTTGCTTTAGTGCCCACTTGGAATGGAACCTTGATGGTCTATTGGAGAAGATATGGGAATATCTAAACCTCACTCGAATTTACACAAAACCAAAGGGAATGAACCCAGACTACGATGATCCGGTAATCCTATCGTCCAAGAGAAGGACAGTCGAGGATTTCTGCAACAGAATCCACAAAGACATGTTAAAGCAATTCAAGTAGTGAGTTTTCCACCTTCTCTCTCTCTCTCCATGTATGCATGTGCTGTACTCTATGTCGGTTTGCAGTCCTTGTACTGATTCGATGACTTCTGAAATTTTCAGTGCTTTGGTATGGGGCTCCAGTGTGAAACACAAGCCGCAGAGAGTTGGAAAGGTACTGTAGCTTCTTTTTATGTAGTCTTCCTTTTTTTCTTTCAAAATCTGGAACTTCAAATCTTCAGCCAAAGTTCAGTCTTAGAGACAACGTCTTATTTGTACAATGAAAAGAAGGGCCCGAAATTTGTTCAGAGGAAGTATAGCATACACTTTTGGTGTATATGATATATAGCACACTACAGATGGTCTACCGCCTATCCCCATTATTGGCAGATGGAGATTAATCCTCACCGTCCTTTACCAAGCATGAATTCCATATGCCATGTGGTGCACCTATGTACCATTTCCATTGATTCAGGCTGCATTTCAAAGTTACATATAAACTTAGGAATTTTTTAGGTTTTTTTTTCCCAGACCTAATAATCACAAATGATCTCTGATGCTTTGCAGGAACACGAGCTTGAAGATGAGGATGTGGTTCAGATCATCAAGAAGGTGTGATTAGTTTAGAGGTGAGTTTGTTAACCTTAGAAGGCAATTTTCAACTGAGAAAGGAAAAATCTATAGAATATGGAAGGCTATTTATTTTGGAGTTTGAAGGATCCTTACAGAGAGAAAATAGATGGGGTGCTGCCCTTAGATTACCTGGTCCTGTTCAGTTGGTATGTCGGTTTCTTCCCCATTTGAGGATAGGTATGCTTCTGAGATTTTCTGTATGAAACTCTATTACTCTACTAATGTTTTGATGTATGATTATGTAGACAAAAAAGAAAAAACGTGAAACAATTTATGACAAAAAGTCCATGAAGAACATTAGCTGTTTGAGGCTGTGAAATCACTTTGTTCTCACCTTTTCCTTCTTGGAAATTTGATGCATTTTTTTCTAGGGTTTAGGTGTTATGGCATTATAATGTTTGGTAAGATTATTAGTTTCAAACTTTTTATTTTCTCTGATCTCCTTACAAGTGTTAGGTGTTATTTCGTGTCGGTTTCATTTTAAAGTCATTGAAACTATTCAGACTTCAATCTGAGGTGAAATTATGATTCTATTTGTTGTTTCACTTGGGAAATCTCACAAAACGTGCAGTTTTTGCATGGGCAACTTTTCTGACTTTTTGTGTAGTTGCCCCTAAAAAATCCATCAAAAAATCAAAAAATGCAGTTGTTGGGGTAGAAACCCTTGCAACATATAAACACTTGAAAATCTTGAAAACAGGCAGTCTAAATAATTTAGTATGAGATGCACGGTTTTTAGATCTTGAATTTTTTTCTCGTTATATCCATATGAGGTCATTAATTGGAAGGTTTCTCAACTTCAAAACACTATTTTTTACTGAATTTTTGAGATACAATTTTATCAGGGTTCATGAAAAAATTAGGTAAAATTTTTCGTTGGCTGCCTACCTAGAGGGTGGGTGTGGTTTGTATAAGGTTGCAACTTTAAACTATCAAAATACCTTCAAATTTTATCATAAATATAATTTTAGTGTAAAAAATTCTTAGGAGGGGTAGAGGATCTATTTTCATCTCTAATTATAAAATCTTAAACTTCAAAAATTATACAAATCAATTAGTATAAACACTTGAAAATCATGAAAATGGATGGTCCAGATAATATGAAAATCTTTTTTCTCGAGATGACCAATTAGAAGGTCTAGGTATTTCAATATCAAAACAACATTTTATATTAATTTTTTATTTTTATGTTAATTTTTGAGGTGCACCTTAATTCTACATTTTAAGGTTGCAGCCTTATGTAAACTTTGTCCATGACATAATGAATACACATCAAATATCAAACCATCGACTCTTAATTAGTGAACTACAAAAGCCAATCCATCTTGTGTACACGACCCACTTTATTATTGTCTACACACACTGTTTGCTTTTTTGCCCTTTTTAGGCATGACCCAAGGCCGGTCGTTTTAACCAGACAGAAATGTTAGCCAAACATTGAATGAAAAGACCGATCACACAACAGGGGTCCACCATCATATCATGACAGAGAGGCCCCCAATCTTCTTTTGGATTGATGATAAGAAGTTGGTGCCACAATAAAGCCATTGGGTTACCAAGTTTCTCAAAGGAGATGCAGCCTTGTCCACTCATCCAATGGTGGATGGGCCCTCACAACAATGATCACAGCATTGAGGTGAAACTCTTGTTTGTATGAAGGAGGGATTTTATTTGGGCTGCGGTTTGTATAGAGCCTAGGCTCTAAACAATCAAGGTAGAGCCTACTTTCAATAATGTCGCGAAATGTCGTTTTAATATTGAAAATCTTTGTGACAGCCTTAAAATATATTTTCATCTTTAATTATAAAATTTAAAACTTAAAAGATAGTGTAGATTGATAGATCTATGAAAACTTGAAAATCTTAAAAATTAACGGTTCAAAAATGTATTACAAAATACACTATTTTCAAAACTTGAAATCGTTTTTTTTTTTGTTGTTGTGTTGTCTATGCATCTTGACGTTGAGATGATCAATTTGAGGATATTTTGACATCAAAATAACCTATTCAAGTGAAATGTGAAATTTTTGAGGTGGGCTCGAAATTGATTGTTTAGAGCCTCAGCTCTATATAAACTTTTTCCTTTTCTTTGGGGGTAATGAGAGACAAGAGAGTGAGTTTAAATTTAGAAGATGCCCAAGGAATCAAGAGACATTGAGATAGTATTGAGATGTTGGGAAAAGGAGATGGCGGTAGTAGCACCTTTGCCACCCTAGTCACCATGTTGTGGTCCTATAAAAAACTAACTCTTGAATTATTTGAAAAAATGGTTAGACGACTGTCTCCCCACTAAATTACCCAAAACAAAAGTTCAATTTTGTTGCCCTCTTTCGCGCTCTCTCTAGGTGTGTTAGTATAATTGTGGTTATTGCATATTATGTTCTCTCTCTACAGGTGTGGAAGTTCAATTTTTGTTGGTAATCCCATATTGTATACTCTCCTCTCACTCTAGTTCAATTTTGTTGGTAATTCCATATTCTATACTCTCTCTCTCTCTCTTCATGGACCTCTAACGTCCTCATTTATACAATTTGGTTTGGTCTTAGGGTCAAAATCCGAAACCACGAAGCACTTGAAACCAGTTTCAACTGGTTACGTAATTCTCACAACCCATTCATTGAATTGCAAATCCATGAACCAGTTGCCTCAATGCCAATACTCTCACAACCCATTTATTGAATTGCAAATCCATGAACCAATTGTCCCAATGCCAATACTTTTACACTACACTTGACTAATTTTAAGGTAAATACGACAAAGCTGACAACAAAACCCCACTGTCGTTTTAAAAACCACTCCACTTGGGCTAACCCATTGTCCCAAATCTTTTTTTTTTTTTTAATTAAAATTGATTGTGTTTTAGTGTGATCTGAACCCATGCATACATTTGCTTATAAATGACTCAAAAATAATTTCTATGCCTCATCTTCTTTTTCTAATGTTAACTTGGGACCTGATCAGAACAGGACTCCAGATGTCACATTGTCACTGCCGTCACCAAGGCTGTTCGCATTTTGATCGCCTCAAGAACAAATAACAATAAGTGTCCAAGTTTCTAAGGTGTCGGAATGTGTTACGCTTTTATCGCTTCAAGAACAAAATATAATAAGAAATGTTGAAATTTCTAAAATATCATAATGTGGCATGCTTTAGTGAACGTGGAACAGGGAAAAATAAAAATGAACGTGGAACAGGGAAAAATAAAAAAAACCCATGGACATAAGAATCCAAGTACAGAGACTATATCTTTTAAGGAAATGCCTGCCCTATCTAAAGGATTAAAAGCTTAGAACAAGCAAGCAATCAGAGAACAAAAAACAATCTTTTTATTTCACCTACTCAAAAGGCTTGACATCTGAAAATACAAGCTACTTGACCCAGAGTTGAAGTAGAGATCCTATGAATTATGCCTTTATAAAACAGTTGAAGTAGCTAAGCAGCTTCTTCCTTGTCTGCAAATACACAATCATTCAGTGCGATGAGAAAACAACTACAGCCATGATTTTAAACTTCAAAGCACGCAAGTAAAAATCGGGTCAGTTCCCAAAAAGTACCAAGGCCATTCTCTCCCCTAAATGAAGATTAATCAGTGTTTTAAATGGGCCCGTATCGGCACCTTTGGGCCGATGGGGGCCTAGGCATCTTGCCTTTGCTAAGGCCCCACACCTCAGTTGGGGAACCCTCTTGGTGGCCGAGGTGAGGACCTCTTAGGCAGCCAAGGAACTGCCTAAGGGATCCGGAATCCAACCTGAAAACCTACCCCTCTTTTCTCACTGTTTTCACTGCATTCCGCTTATAAAATCACTGATACTAATCTCATAATTCAACTTTATCTTTCAAAGATCAATCTACTAATAAAGTTGGGAAGTGGTAAAGAAGAGGAGGGTTTCAGTTGAGTAATTACAGTGGGAGAATTGCTATGGTGGTGGTGGTGTATAAGCTCCTCTTCATTCCCAAGACTTGCTCTACTAAAATCCTTCTTGTTTTGTTTCTTCAACTCTCTGATCATAGAGAAATCCATGGAGTAATTGGGCATGTCACACTGGCTCTCCCATGCTCCAAATTGTGGTACAGATACGCAAGCATTCCTCTGAATAATAAATTCACATCAGAAAAATGCATAAAAACAATGAGAGAGAGAGAGAGAGAGTTGGGGGTGACCAAGGACCCCATAACTCCATGAAATAAATCTTCATTAATAGAGCGATGCGTAGCACCTCGGAGAACTAAAAATGTATCTTGCTTTGAAACTCGAAAAACGTATGCATCTCCCAGGCAAAAGAGAGAGTGAGGCATAGAAAAGGGTTGTTACCTCCTTGCGGTCTTCCATGGGTTCAAATCTGTGGCGTTGATTTCTTGAGACGCAGAGAGAGAAAAATGTGAAAATGGGAGAGAGAGAGATGTGTGAAAATGAAATGAAAAGAGAGAAAAGTGGGTTCTTTATACAAAATAGAAGGGGGAGAGAGAGAGAATATGAGAGGAAAGTAGACAGGGAGGCAGGTGCGGAAGAGACAGAAAGTGGTAAAGAGATGACGCGTTTTCTTGGCCTCATCGCACCCCCTCGTAATTTGTAACAACTGTCTCTTACCTGGACTAAACCGCTTCTCATCAATTTTAAATGACCCATATTCTCATTGCATTCATTTTCTTTTTCAATATTTTATTTTATATTTCTTAAATTTTTATTCTTTCCAGCCCGAGCGCACCTCAAAATTATATCAAAAATATTGTTTTGATGCCGCAAAGCTATATAAATAAATCTATTGTCGCCTTATTTATAAAATTTAAAGTTTCAAAAAAAATGATGATCAAATAGATCTATAAGATAAACTCTATTTTTTTTATCGATTTGAGAATTTTTTCAAATAACGACCTTTTCCGGTCTATTTTTTTTAAGTGTACCCGTTGACACCTTATATACACCTCTTCCTTCTCATTTGTAGGAAGGCAAGTTTGGGCCACACGTATCTTTGGACCCGAAACCCCATAATTACCAAAATTTCGCATATGTGCTTCTCTGGGTTTTTTGGGAGTTGTGCAATATTTTTTTAAGAGGGATAAATTCGTAAATTTTGCACATCCGATTCACCTGGTGCTTAGGGATCGTGCGATGTTTTTGAAGGGGCCCAAGAGTATCGATTAAAACATAGAGAAAATTTTTTTTTTCTCTTCAATAAAAAATTAGATAAGATATCAACTTTTTGTACACTGATTTATA